AGTTCACTAACTTGCTCAAAACATGATTAAAAATAACGTACTAAAAATACTCATGGTTCCGATTTGTGGAAAAAAAAATGCTCGAGGTCAAGCGTCTAACATGTTGACTCGCGATTTTCAAGGAAACGGTAAGTTGTATCAAAAAAATTACTTTAGTCAAAAATTGTAGATTATAAAATTCTCCTTAAAAATGTATCAATACTTTTTTCCTAAGACCGATCGGATCTGAGATATAATGATCGTTATAATATGCACATGTTTTCACGTCGCCTATGAGGTCGTGTACTTATACTTAGCGCTTTTTTTATAACTTTTTGAATCGTTCTATAGAAAGATTGGCAAAGCTTTTTAAAATATATCTACATACAAGTATATAAAAAACATGGAGAAAATATTTGAGAGTGAGCGGATCATTTGTTTCCGAGTAATAACTCAAACAAATTTGAAAAATGTAGTTTTGAGAAAAAGGCGTTGAAAGGTGAACTGATGGAGCTGATTGAACTGAGCGGCTACACTTTAGAAAACTGTTGCTCTATAACTGTTTGAAATATCGATTTAAAATTAATGTGAATGGAACTCGTTCGATAGTGAAAAATTGCAACCGCGGTAAAATAGCAATAGAGTTTTAATTAGAAATGGTTAAAATTGTCCGCCTAAATGTAAATCCACGTAAATAAAGGAATAAAATAAGCTTATACATTCGGGACTCATTAAATATAAATTCTCGAGACATATTTAAATGTATTTGGTTCTAATTTGTGTGTAAACTTTTTTACTAAAGTTTGAAAAAAATACTACTATTTGCATTATTTTTTTGAAAATATGATCATAATACGTTCATAGTTTTACTGCATAGTTGTTCAATCAGATAGAAGCTAAGTGGTTAACAAACCCGAATCATAACTGTACGAGTATACCCCATTCCATTGTGAAGTCACATGCATTAAGTATTTATTGTGATTATTGGATGTCTATTTATATAAAAGTTTTTTTTTTTTAGTAAAATAATTGAAGAAATTTAATGAATATTTTCAATAATACGCACATTAATAAAATTTAGTTATAAAATCGGTGAATTGATTATGACACAATCAGTCAATTTATATTTTTTAACATATGTATATAAAAAGGAATATTTTATATTAAAATTTCAAAACTATGTCAGTGCACAAGCAATTTAATTGTTGATTAAAACTATCAATATGATTGAACTGTCCTGTTTGATCACTGTGATAAGTCGGAAAATTTCAAAGAATGAGGCCATTTTGTATTTCGAAAACAAATCAAATCATTCAATTAGCTTGTCGTATTAAATCCAATTGCAAATAAATATAATCAGACAATGTTTTATATAAGAATGTTGTTTATATTTTATATCAATTCATTCAATATGCATTCTACTAATTGATTATTGTTTTATTAAAGAGTCTAACAAAGAGTCATGTGTTTTGTGAAAAGCCAATAAACAAGTAAGCAATTCATTTCATTATCACTTCAGTACTGCTTACTTTAATACTGTATAAATTTCTATAAACATAATCTGATATTCTTCTAATAGAGTCTAATGAGTACTAACCGACGAACCGGGCTGCTATAAAAATATAATGTAATTAACGTTTCAATTCAAATTTTTTTTATTTTGTACACCCGAAAATCTGAATAAAAAACCATTTTTAAATTTGTAATACCAACTATTGGATTGAAAATAATATTTTTAATCCCAATATATATGAATTAAATGTTCAATTTTTTAAAATGCTGGAATAACGGATAAGAAATTAAAGTTTTAGTTCCGATTTTAGGATAAAAAATTGAATATCTAATTTCATTTTAATCTTTAACTCCGATTTTGATATTAAAAATCTAGATTTTAATAAAAAAAATTTCTATTATAAAAATCGCAACCCTGCCCACAATATACCTTAGTTCTCGAAATTCAAACTAATCAGCAATCGCCATGTGCCAAAAATCATTCGTATCAAGCAAGTCTTGAGGAGCAATCGAACACCTACCTTTTGCCTTTAAAGAACAACCTTGCCCCAACGGAGTTAAATATTGTTTAAAAATATATTATTCGGATCTCTTCGAAGGCTTTGTTTTTTTACTCTTGGCACTCGGAAATATTAGTTAATAGACACCTCTAAGAAAGTATCTCCAAGTATAATTAGGTTGAAGAATTCATATCTCGCTTCCAACTACTTGAAAAAATATCTCGTTTCATGAATTCTATTGAATGCTCTACAAAACGGTCTCTTACGACTTTTTCGTAAACCTAACCGTTTAAACAATACTAACGGTTGAAGTTTGATTATTTTAAGGCACAATTTTTCTTTTAAGAATTTTATAACTCAATTAAAAAAATTATTATAAATCGGAAAAATCATAGTTTCGTAGGAAATTCACTTCTCTACAAAAAAGTCACTTAGAATTTAAAACAAAAAAATAAAAAATAAAATAAATAATATTTATACACCGAATTCTGTTTTTACTCGGTTTTGATTTAACACGGAATGAAATTAATTTTTTTTAGTTTTTTTGGGCTTAAATTTTATTTGTCAGATCTAATTTTTGCGAAATATGTTCACATCACAAATTTAGAGGAATTTCCTCTTTGTGGATACAAGCAAATTTACTGGCCAAAGCAATTGTAAATAGCACAAATTTATTGAAACGTCTTTTTTTAAACTTTTTTTACACAGTTTTCTCTGGAAACAAACTATCGTGTAAAAACAGAATTAGGAATTATATATAGGTATATATGTATATACATATATAATATGCATTGATGGTTGACGATGATCATCTCGTAAACGCTTAACTTAATCGAAAAATTATCAAGGAACAATTTGTAGAGTAAATTTCCTACAAGACTAAGCTTTGCAATACAAAATGATTTTTTTTCATTGAGTTATAAAATTCAAAAGAAAACAACAAATTTGCCTTACAATAATATCTTTTAAACGGTTAGGTTTACGAAAAAGAGAGTTTACGAGACCATTTTGTAGACCATTCAATTTCTTACAAAGTCTATGAAACGAGACATTTTTTCAAGTAGTTGGAAGGCAGATATGCTTTTTTCTGTCCGATTATAAGAAAAGGTGGATGACCTTCCCATTACGATTAAGAGCTCATGCTTGGAAGAAGTTTTTAAGAGGTGTATATCAGCCAATTAACCAAGTATCAAGCGAAAAAAAAAATTAAGTTTGCCACTATGTTTGTAACACCCAAAAGGAAACGTCAAATACCCTATAAAGTGTGTATATGTTCAGCGTGACGTCCTCAGTCGATTTAACCATGTCCGTCTGTCTGTTCGGCTGCCTGTATATATTATATGATCTGAAGTTTTGCACTCGTCCTTTTCTCCCCAAGAAGCTGCTCATTTGTCGTCGACACTACAGTTGCCATACAAACTGAACGATCGGAATCAAGTACTTGTAAGAAGTCTTTTGTATTTTTGAAGACTAATAGCTTCGGTGCAACCGAAGTTAACTATTTTTTCTTGTTTAAATTTAATTATTGAAATTCGTACTTATAATGGGGCTAAAATAAGCTAACTTTTTATATACAAACTCATTCATAAATATGATTATAATTTACAAAATTAATTTTTGATTGAAAAGATACTAATTAAAACATTTATCGATAAAGATATTCCGTAAGAAAAAGTTTTCAAAAAAAAGTTGAAATATTTTCGGCAAAAAGTAGCTCCTAGTGGATAAAACGTATTTTAAAATGTTTCCAAAAATGAAAATGGCGTCTCTGACGAACGAGATAAACGAGACTATCGGGTTTTCTAAATGGACTATTCGCTAATTTAAGGGAGTTTAAGTTACATGAAAATAATTTCCCTCATTTCCTATATTTGCAAAAAAATCAGCTATCCGTTTCAAATAGTTCGCTAAAAAGCGAAAACCCCACAAATACTTCATTGATTGATAAATTTATTATAGTTTTTATTAGACCATACTTTAAAAATATGGGCTCTTATCAAGATTATTATATGTATTATTTGACAATTTTCGCAACCTAATTTTCCTATTCCTTTTGAATTTGCTACAAAAGAAAACGTAGATATATACCATATATAAATTTTAACATATTTAAAAAAAAACTATAATTTTTATTACAAAGATAAATAGTTTAGTTCACACTTCGAAATTATACAAATAACTGTTCAAAAAACTTAAAAATAGTTCTGGAAAACTAAGTGTTTTCTATTTTTTAAGCAAGCAATAATTTCACATGGTTTAAAATCAAAGTAAATTAATTTCAAAACTCCAATTTGTTATAGCTAAGACCATTTTGAAACAATCTTGAGCTTCATTTATACATATGTACATATGGTATACTATGTAGTCTGTATTAAGACTTTGAAATGACGTTAAGACGACATAATTAAAATTTTAACGATAATATATTTTTGAGGTATAGAATACATGAATGATTAAAACCAATCTATTGTATTAGCTATATATAATATTTTTTTTTAACTCGGCCAGTTTAGTGTTGAATATCTCAAAATAAATTTCAGTTGGTATACTTATGTAAATGAAGACTTACCATTTTATGATTGGAGCTTGTCATTCACTAATTTTGCTGATTTTCTTTATTCTCTTGTGCATGATTTCCATTTGTGGTTTATACTAATTATAAATTATTTTGTGATCAAAATATTGAATGCAATTTCAAAGTGCTACTAAAGTTTATTTGCCTGATGTCAATATTTAACAAATATCGTTTATTCTTGTTCTCATAACCTAATTACATATGTTAATTGAGTCATCGATCTTAAAGTTTGGGTAATATGAATATAATGGACACCGACTGTCCATTAGAAGTAATGATATGCCCTTAAAGCAAATTTTTTCTTTAAGAAAAAATCTGAGGTTTTATTTTTTCATTACAGGTACTAGGTACCATCCACCCTAACAGTATAAAAATTTGTACAGTCTGAACATAAATTTATCAGTAATAAGTGGAGCCACAGTCTTGGAACTCACCTCCATCTTCATTCGATCCCTCACTAGGCGGGCCGGCTGCCAGGTTTTGCCGATTTCCTATCATTAACCGATGTTGAATGGCTACTGTTGCAACAGCAGCAGCCGCAGTCGTTTGCACAGCCGAAACATTTCGCATCGCCACACTTAATCCAGTTAAATTCGCGAACGCATTACTTGCATTAACCGCCATTTGTGAGGCCGCTGCGGCAGCAGCAGCATTCTGCGGATTAGTTTCAAAACGGGGACGGCCCAAAAACGGGCCGCCGGCAAACACTCCCGGCACACCGAATTGCAGAAATGGTCCCCAAGGAGGGACTCGCACCCCACCGGGCGCTAACTGAGCAGCAGCGGCGTACAACTGCAACGCAGCGGTTGGGTGCAAGCCTTCCGGCGGCATGGTTGAAGAATTGGCTGTTGAACGGACCACTGTTCCAGGACACGAAACTATACTACCACCGCCACTGACTGTTACACTATCGGGACCACTGACCGTGTCTGCCGCCGGGCTCAAACGTCCTTGCGCTGATATGCGTTGTAGTTGCAGGTTTTGTTGTTGCTTTTGCAGTTGTTGCTCTAAAACCATTCTGTACTAAAGCTCTGCAGTTGAGCGAATAAAAATACAGCAACAACTCACACGGACTATTGCATAAATGTCGAATAAGTCCACTTTAAGTTTGCACCAAACACACAATGAATTCTATTCACATCAGTCGAAAAGAATGTGCTATTCACATCAGCACAAAATCCACAAATATCGGTGTATATATGTATAGTTTTACATGTATGTACTTGTATGTGTTGATATATTCACAATGGTTCACAGTCGTATTGTCGTTGAAGCTCCTTCTGTATGTACATAATAAGTATTTCGTGCACATGTAAATATGTATTTTCATAATAAAAATTTAATATTGTTAGTGTTGGCTTATTATACCAATCAATTAAGATTCAATTTTGTGGCTGCGTTAATAAAAATAATTGCAATCGCACACAACGTGCTCGACCGACAGCACAGCCGATGAAGTGAATTCCGGTTTAGACCTCGGTCAGCTCAACTGCCACCGTTTGCCAAATGAACCCGATTCGCGGACATCCTACACCACTCTCGCGGCACAAGCTAAGCAAATCTCAAAGCAATTCTGCTCGAACTAGTGAACCACCGACGGTAGCACAAGCCGAAATGTGCAACAAACAGAACGCAACGAACAACCAACGAGCACTCAACATGAAAATTCAATTTGAACTGAGCACAGCGAGCAGACTTCGAGTTTAACAAACCAAAGCAAAGCAAACCAGAAAGATTAACGACGCAGCAGCTGCCGTAAGCGGAGAGCAGCAAGAAGTCAACGAATCAGTGAGCGAGTAGACGATGAGACCATGAGCACGAGATTGTTGCCATTGTTGCGCCAAGGTATCACCACCACAACCACCACTATCAGATCAGCACCACACCTCACCTAACCGCAATCAGACGATTATCGACCGACCGTTTACTAGCTGTTGCTCCGTGTATGCGAGAACGAAGCAGCACGCCTTGCCCGGCTCTTTCCCATTGGTACAAGAGAGCAAGAAATTCATCAAAAAGCCACTTAATTCTATTCCTCGGGCATTGTTGCTGCATATGCCATCGCTAGAGTTGACACCGCGACCTCCGCCGACGGTTCAACCAACACCCATAATGTTCTCTGCCGCAGTCAGCTCGAGCACTGCACATCTTCATTCAGTCCAAGTCTATAATTAATATAAACACACAAGCTGACTGTACGTCGGACCAACAACCGAACGCATGTATACGAAAGAGTAATTGCTTGCTGGTTTATTTGTTTTTCGCCGTTTCCAACATGGACGACAATGATTGTGGTTCCGAGCACCAACACCACTAGTAATATCTTTACACCAACACAACACGCGGAAATTGCGAGCGTTAGAGCGAGATGGTCAGATGAGGTGCTTGTAAATACTGGGAAGTATTCCCATTATTATTGTTCTTTCTTTTTACATTTCAAGATTTTATCAATTTAACCCAACTGTTCCTGAGAGGAGAGGAGGTGTTTTGTATGCATGTGCTGGATATGTGCACTGGACTTACGTGGGGCGGAGTTTTTCGGTATATTTCAATTTGCCCTCATAAAATTATTATTTGTGCATTTGTTGCTGTAAGTGCCTCTGTTGCTGTTGCCGGCATTGGTATAGAAGAACGACTAAAGTGGTTCGAAAGGAATCGGAAGAGAGAATGATTGCTTGGTCGCTTATCGGCGCATTTTTCGACGACAGTTGTTGCTGTAGTTTATAGTAAGGTGTTTATATATATGTACATATTTATGAAATAAGCCCATACTATGTACTGTTTTCTACAGTTTCGGATTGAAATGTAATATATACATGTATATGTAAAGTATATTGTAGATATGTTAATATATATGTGTATATAGTTCCTTTTTTTGGAAGTACTCTTGAAGGCTATGACATATATTGCTTTGTTGATTATTTACCAAAACATACATACATAAATATTTAATGCAAAATATATAGCTTTTTGAGTATGCATATCTAATATGAACCAATTTCATAATTTTTTGTTATCTTGCTTTTTTTAAAGAAACAAATATTTGGTTTATTCAAACTTTTATGTACACAAAAATCCAATTATTATTATAACTAAATATAGTTCGCTTTTGTTGTCAGAATTCGAGTCGGATTTTGATTTTTTCTTATTTTAAAGTCATTCCTTAAAACCATAAAGTCGGGGTGTAAAAATACTTAGTAGGAAATCACTTGTTAATATGGTATACATATATTGATTACTTCATATGTGTGTTTCAAATACAATGGCAGTTTTCTATAGATCATAAATTATATCTTGAAACTGATAGAAGAATATTTTGTGTTCATTTTATTTCCACACAATGTTAAGCACCTTATAGGAACCTTGAATTTTTCGTACTTTCGAACTTGATACTTTTTCATTCGATATTAATTGAATGCTGAAATAAATACCTTCGACTATACCTGTGTTATATAAAAACCCCCGGATATATAGATGTGACAAGAAACGTACTTCAAAAAACAGAAATTGCCACTCTACTTATTGCATTTGAGCACTAATGGAAAGATATTTTAGCGAGTTTGTTGAAAATTACAAAGAAATTAAAAAAATTGTAACTATAGGCAACATCATTTGCTTAGTAATAGTTCGATAAGCTCCTTACTGGAGATTTCGTTGCTTAGGGTATGTGTTTCTTTTTTAAATTAAAACGAATCTACTAGAAGCGCTAAATAATATTATATGAACTACGTAGAAGGTATTTTTAAGACATGTGGTTTTCCCAGAACAAAAAAAGGCATATCATTTAATGTTATGGCCAAGAATTTAGTTTTATTATAAAGATAAGTGTAGCCATTATGTTTTAAAAATGATTTTCGGTAAGTGGCAGCCGCAGTTGATTTGAATAAATTCCAGACGAGAGGCCCATATCTCGACCACTTTTTGCACCAATTGGGACTGTATGTCCGCAGTAACGAACTTCTTCCAAGGCGTCGTCAATAATTCCCTCTGCTCATAGAGAACACGAAACAAAGACTGTTTGAGGATTTAACGGCGTCTCCACAGTAACATGTTACATTAATGTACCAATTACACCAAAAGTGAGTTTCATCACTGCACAAAATTCTCATGCACGAGTTGGATTTTGTAAGCCCGCAAACCAAGATCCTTCCGCAAAATCTTCTACAGAGTGGACGTGAATGGTTTCATTCGGGTCTTCTTCGGTACTCTGCTTCTCTTCGGTGTGCACTGTACGGCATCTCTGAGGATACGCGTTATTCATTAGATTAAATGTGGTGAGAACCCGGTCCATGGTTGCCCAAATTACCGACTCTGCTGGGCGATTATGTCGATCGAATATTGATGCATCGCGCGAATTGAATCTTTATTTTGATAATAAATTTGCACGATTTACTAAGGTTGTTTCGGAGTAAGTCTGTTCTTTATGAAAAGGCGAACTTAACTTAGGATAAATCAAGTACGAGCTGCCGAAAAAACTACTGTCTCATTGAAAATCACAAATCTAAAAAAAGATCGCTTAGCCCATCCGATAAAATTTTTGTATGTACATAACTGAACATATTTTTTATTAATTTTTGGGTACTTCTTTTGCAACCATTTTTCGAAATTTTCAGTGTGACATGTAGCCACCCTTGTCTCATCACAAATTCCACTTACATATGTCATAGGTAGTACATCCAAATTTTTATAATTTTTGGAAGAATGTTCTTTGATCATTTTATTAAAAATTATTGTTAAATTCGGAACTCACTGGTTCTCTCATAATTTTTACTATGACATAACCTCATAAGAAGTACTTCCATATCACTATTTTCCAGTTGGGTAAGCGCAATAGAAATTTGTACATATATATATACTTGTATGTAGATATAGAATATATATGGCTCTCTTCTGTTGTGTCGAAATGTGCTTGTGTTGGTGTTAGAACGTGTAAATGTATGTGTAGGCAAGTGGGCGCGTTGGGAGACTTTGTGGCGACCAATTTGCTTTTAATTTGTTAACATAAATGCCTCGCTTAAAGAAAAGGCACATGAATCATTTTATGATTATTTCTTTCCTGCTCTACTTCACCACTCGTCAAACTTCGAATTCGTTATTGTTTTTGCTCGTATATACCTACACATACTTACATACGTACACATGCATCTGTGCAAAGTTGGCATTATATTGTATATACAGGAATCTTGATCGCTGGTGTGGCTTCGTCGCAAATGTCCTACGCTGGGTGTTTTCCACTTATTTATTTATGTACTTAGTATACCAACGAACTTGTATGTACCATATATTTATGAATTGTTGTTTTGTTTGTGGCTTTTTGATTTTTTTTATTTCTCGGCCATTTATCTCCATGAGCTTACCATCTACTTGCACTTGTAAACTTGGCAATTTATATGTATGCATGCGCACATAAGAGTGCAGTGCAAATGAATTCAGACGTACATATGTACATATATATACCTATATACATACATATGTATATGAATGTACATTGAGTAAGCTCTTACTTTTTTTTAAAATGGACCAAAAATTTTGTTAGTTTCAAAACTATGGTACTTATGTACTTGTTTTCAAAATTTATTGCTGTAAACTCCGACATGTCTATACTTATATACATATGTATATGTAGCTCTATATACATATAATGTGTATATAAGCATTTACCTATACATGCATGCACGTGTATACATTTCTAATAACACTTTGTTACATATAGTTTTTACTTATGTACATATATCACACACACTTATATATTATATATTATATGTGTATCTACTCCTTGCATATGCCACTTCATCCATTCACTTATTTTGCAAATTTTATTTTAATTTACGAAAGAGAGGGAGCGGTTGGAGGAGAGCATGGTTTTTGGTGCCGTTTGGTTTGTAAGGGATTTGAGTGACGTTGGCAGAGGGTGTTAAATGTTGGATACGTTGGCAGGTTACTTAATTGGTGTGTGCCGTAGTGATAATTTTATTAATGACATGAAAGTTTTCCTACCTCGCTGCTTGCTGCTACAGCTGATGATGGTGATGGTAATGATGATGGTTCTGGTGCGGACATTGTTCTGGTTTTTGTAGTTGGTAAGCTGGTTCTTCATCATGTAACTTCGCTCTAGACGAATGTACTGATGCTTTACTGAATAAAATTGAACAGATTTCAAGTCTTGAAAAGCGTTCGAAGCGTATGCGAAGTACGAATTTAAGTTGTTTGGTAATGTTACGTACATACGTGGAAGTCTATCTACTACCGACTTAACATTACCTCTTTGAATGACATAATGCTAATCGAAATATTCTCGCTTAAGTTAACTTGCGCTCGTACTATTTTATGCCAAATAAACTCAACCAAATCGATGAAAATTAGTATATTGGATATATATAGGGCAAATCAACCAAAGAGGAGGGAAGTCATTATATGAGGTATATAAGAGCTGTGGGAAATATTAACCGGATATTAGCCCCAACTGCACCTAGAAAGCGCGATTTAAGCAAACCTACCAAGATCGGGATAGGTACTTGATTTATATGTTGAAATTTAAAGGACACTAGTAGTGTGATAGCCTAAAAAAACGATCTTTGGGGTTTTAAAACAAGAAAAAACGTTAACTCTTCACAAATACAAAGGCTCCTTACAAGAACTTGATTCCGATCGTCTAATTTGTATGGTAGCTGTATGTTATAGTGGTCCGATATCGGCGGTTTCGACAAATGAGCAGCTCCTTAGTGAGAAAAGAACAGGTGTAAAATTTCAGATCGATAGCTTATAAACTGAGGGACTAGTTTGTATATATACATCCCCCTTCGGGTAGGGGTAAGAATTTACCCGCGGTAAGGCATGCCTGTCGTAAAAGGCGACTAAAAGCCAAAATGCACTATGACTGTTAATTAATTTTGCCCAGAATTATCAGCATAGCAAATGATGTCAGAAATAGTGCTATAATACTGACCTTGAACTGATATTATAGACTTTAAATGAGATTCAAAATAAAAAGACACTTGAAGTTCAAGCGACAAATGTCACCAGTCATTGAGTAAGGCGGAGCTCAACTGGCAGTAGTTTCGGCTACACAGTCTGACCGGAGACTCAACTCTGGTACCACGGGGAGCAGAATGCCCTTGGACTTCGGTTCAATCTGCTCATTGGGTTCGGACCTTTGGGGAGTATCGTGGTGGCTGTGGTTTAAACCTAAACGCTGGAAGGACTGAATTTTCAGTTCGAAAAAGAAGTTGCACAAGCAACTGGGTTTCGTACCCAAAAACGGAAGTGGTTTTAGGTCGGCCTCGAATCTTACCAAGATGGTCAGTGTGCCCATACACACTGGCCACGGGTAACCAAATTAATACTTGCAAAAAGCTTTTATTATTTGGGGCGCTTATCAATGCATTGTTTTGATACGTTGTGCTTTGGAGCACCGTGAGGTAAGGCCGTCGACGGCAGGTACTCACGTAAAACACACCGGATGTTGTATATAATATATACAGACAGACGGACATAGCTAAATCAACTCAGCTCATCATGCTCATCATTTATGTATATCCTTTATAGGGTCTCAGAAGTTTCCTTCTGGGTGTTACAAACTTCGTGCAAACTTTATATACCCTGTTCAGGATATAAAAAATAAACTATTGTATTGAATGTTTCAAAACTTCGCGATTTGACTATGGAAAAAACTTTCGAATCTTCGCAAATCTTTATGTTCACAATCTATTTGATAAAAAATAAAAGGACGTTGGTTTAAATATTTTTAAGTAGCTGAGATGATATCAAAATGAAGAATAAATTGATTTCCTGATAATGAACGAAGTATTGAAAAGACTTTAAATAAGAAGTAGAAATATTTTAGAAATTGACTAGTTTTTAAAATGTTGCAGTTTTAAGAGTTATTTTATCATACATAGACACGTTTCTTTTCAAAGTTTCTTCTTGATTACTTAATT